AAAGAAATATCTGGCCGAGTTAAGGTCAAGTACTGTAATGCCCCAACTACACTTCTATATCGTGTAGCATCTTCAGGTCCAAGAGGTTCACCTTCCTCAATGCTTAATTTTTCAGCAACCGATAGAGGTGTAGCCATGGGTTTGCAGTGAGTCATGCCAACCCGTTTAAGAATATCTGAAGCATATTTACTTTGTGATAAATGAATACCATCACGTACCTTATTCACCTCTATGCCAAGGAAGTAATGTAATGTACCTAAATCCTTTAGGACGAAATCTGACTTGAGATCCTTCAGCAATGCTGACACTGCTTCTGAGGAAGAGCTGACTACTATAATGTCATCTACATAAACCAACAAGAAGATGCTAACATTGCCTTTATTAAATATGAACAATGAAGTGTCGGCCTTAGAGGGGCAGAAACCAAGTTGCTGCAGTTTATCACTCAACCTTGAGTACCAAGCTCTGGGGGCCTGTTTCAGACCATATATTGCTTTATCCAACTTGCATACATGATGTGGGAATTTACTATCTTCATAACCTGGTGGTTGTCTCATGTAGACATCCTCCTCAAGAACACCATGAAGAAACGCGTTCTTTACATCTAGCTGCCTAAGACACCAGCCTCTAGACACTGCTATAGAAAGCACCACTCTGATAGTAGCAGCTTTGACAACGGGGCTAAAAGTATCCTCATAATCTATCCCATATCTCTGTTTAAATCCCTTTGCTACCAATCGAGCCTTATATCTGTCTATGCTGCCATCTGCCTTTCTTTTAATTTTGTATACCCATTTGCAATCGATAAGATTTTTTCCTTCCTGTGCTGGTACTAAATGCCATGTTTTGTTATCTTGCAAGGCACTAAATTCCTCATCCATAGCATGTTTCCAATTTTTATTACCAAGAGCTTTAGATAAATCATGTGGTTCATTACCAACCGCTAAGCATCCATAGCCATACCTTATAGTGCCATCTGTGTATGCTTTTGGTTTTCTGATCCGGTTGGTCCGGCGTGGAAGATTTGTTGCTGCAGCATTATCTGATACAGAAGACCCAGTGCCAGGGACATCCTGATGTGGATCCATCTCGGTTGACGATGGGCCAGTGGGCTCCTGACCTGTGTCCGCTGTCAGCCCACCATCGGACGAAGTCGACGGGCCGCCATCATTGCGCAATGATGCGCTGCCGGCACCTGGGATCGTGCCTGATCTTGGCTCCAAGATTTCCTGCGCACAAGCACCACTGTTTTCTTCCAAAAAAGTATCATTAGGTGCAGAATTTTGGGTATTTTGAATATCAGGCAACAATGAATCAGCTACATTAGTATCCCCCGGATGATTCATGGTGGGACTGGAAGGAAACAAGTGAGGAAGGAGATTGACTTCAGCCCATAAACGAGCGCCGGCATTGGGATGGAACTCATGGAAAGGAAAAACTCCTTCATCAAATATGACGTCTCTTGATATGTAGACGCGTCCTGTACTAACATCAAGGCATTTGTAGCCTTTATGAGATGAACTATAGCCCAAGAAGACGCATCGCTTGGAACGAAAAGCAAGTTTATGAGTGTTATAAGGACGAAGGTTGGGCCAACATGCACAGCCAAATACTCGAAGGAACTTATAGTCGGGTTTCTTATGAAAGAGACGCTCGTAGGGTGTCATGAAGTCAATGACTTTGGATGGGGTTCGATTAATAAGATATGCTGCCGTGGCAAAAACTTCATCCCAGAATTTTAAAGGCATAGATGCATGTGCAAGCAAGGCTAGACCAACCTCAACAATGTGCCTGTGTTTTTCGTTCAACCGGGCCGTTTTGTTGGTGTGCGTGAGGACACGATACTAGGTGTGCTACTCCAATTTTTGTGAAGAAGGAGCTGAGTTTTGGTACTCTCCACCCTTAATCATGCTCAGACGGCAATAATTTTCTCGTCAAACATTTGTTCAACCATATTTTGAAGTCATGAAATTTCGAAAAACTTCAGATTTAAAACGAAGCAAATAGACCCGTGTGAACTTACTATAATCATCGATGAAAGAAACATAGTATTTATTTTACGCCTCACCGAATACTGTGGCGGGACCCCATACATCGAAAAAATGAGTTCTAGTGGCTTGGATGAAGCACTAGTGGACACGAGATACTGAAGTCGATGGCTCTTTGCCCTGTTGACATGCATCACAGAGCCAGAGCCTTTATTTGACTCAACTAAAAAGGGCAAATTATTGCTACTAACGACTTTCTTAACTATCTCGGATGAGGGATGACCAAGACGATAGTGCCACAAGTCGAGAGGCGATCTGGTGGCACCAAGAGCTTCTTTCAGATGCAAGACTTTTCGGTATGGGGTAGAGACCGTTTCTACACCGGCCTTCAAACAAAGCATCCTCTTGGTAGCTTGATCCTTAACAAGAAAATGATTCGGATAAAATTCAAGGTATGCATGATTATCGAAGTAAGACGGTTACGATATAAGATTTTTATCGCAGCAGGAACATGAAGAACACGATTAAGTTTCAAATTGGAATTAGGGGTACTAATAATAGCATGACCAATGTGATCGATATTCATACCGCACCGCTTTCTTTGCGCGGATTTGATCTTTTCCTTGTACTTCTCTTCCTTCATGGAGAGCTTCTCGAGCTCTCCGGTGATGTGGTCGGTGGAGCCGGTATCCGTATACCGCTTTGTGTCCACTCCATATGAATGTGTCGCAGCCGATGCACTCCTCTCGATTGGGATAAGACTCCTCATCGAGCACGTACCACATTCGAGGCGGTGTGGCCGATCTTTGTCGCAGACGGCAATCGTGGTTTGTCGTCATTTATGTAGTTGCTTTGTTGTTGAAGTACCCATGCCGATGCCACGCCCTCTCTGGTGTACACGAGCCACGGCCACGACCGCCGGAGCGCCACGGCCACCACCACGGCCTTGGCGATTGCCGCGACATGTTATTGCCGCCTCCACGGCCGCGTTTGGCCATGTTGGCAGATCCTTGCGATCCGCCATGCAGTAGATCCAATCTGTGCTCAAAGCTCAGCAGCTGAGAGACCAATTCACCCACCGAGATAGACTCGGTGCGCGCCCCCACCGCCGTCACGACTGGATTGAACTCCTCATCAAGGCCGGCCAGGAGATAAGAAACCAGCTCTTCATCATCAACTTTCTTTCCAGCCGAGGCCATATCATCTGCCAGGGACTTTATTTTTGCAACATACTCCGTAACAGACATGTTACCTTTGCGGGTCGTTGCAAGTGCGATCCTCGTGTTGACGGTCCTCGCACGTGAGGCAGATGCGTACATCCGCACAAGTTCTCCATACACCTCTTGCGGTGTTTCGAGTGTGGCCACTTGGGCCATCACCTCCCGTGACAGCGACGTCATCAGGAACCCAAGCACCTGCTGCTCCATGGCTTTCCAGGCAGCATGATCGGGGTTGGGCACCTTCTTGACCTTCTCTCCATCCTTGGCTTTCTCTCCATCCTTGGCTTCAAGTTCTGCAGGTGGAGGAGTGTCGGTGCCGTCGAGATAGCCCTGCAACTGCGCTCCTCGCAGTATGGGCAGGACCTGCGCCCTCCATAGAGGGAAGTTGGTCTTGGTCAATTTTTCGGTGATGACCTGACCGAACAATGGAGACGCGACGTTGAGCGCCGAGGAGCTCGCCATGACGACGGGCAAGACTCAGGCGATGCTAGATGTATTTTTGTGGGAGTTTGCTCTGATTACCATGAAAGCAACCAGGTATGTTTAGGAAGCGTTCTCACCTCTACAGAGGCCGCGTAGCTTTGTTAATATATGCAGAGAAGAGCCCTCTGCATGGCGTACAAATCACCAACCGAAATCAAGGAGATGCCGGTATTATACCTTTCTATTTTTACAACAACCATATCTGGACTTTCCTATCTTTACAACCCAGGAACTTTCTACACAATTCTACACATCGGGACTCCATGATTTCGGTTGGTTTGTTTCCATACAAAGCATATGTTACAATATTATCTAACAGCCACAAGTCACGGCTCCGTTTCGGGTTTGAACTTTGAACCCTCGCAGTTGAGACGAGACGAGGCAGGGTACGAATCCCGTGCAGGTTTGGCTCGCCGACCGGTTCCCGCTGTACCTGGCTCACCTCCGGCGTCGGCGTCGGCGTCGCCTACCGCGCGTCGCTCTCTCGGCCGCGGCCCGGAAGATGGACCAGTAGGGCCACAGCTGGCTGAGGCAACGAGCGCCACGCAAAATCGAGCAGACACGTTGGAATTGGATGGGATCGGCTCGGCACGTCCGCGGTCGGCAGGCACGAGCAGACCGCGCGCGCGCGGGGCGCAATGCGGACCCGTGCCTTGGCCTCTCTCGCGCGCGCCGGCCTGCATTGCCAGCGGGGCAAACCAGGAAAAGGATCGGCTCGTCCGCGTCCGGCGTCAGACGCGCTGGGTAGGTAAGGCAACCTCGGACTAGAGAAACAATACTAAAAAAATACGTATGAAACCATTTTACGTCCTAAAATCTAGACTAGAAGACAACCGAGAACCTGCATCTGTAAATTGGAATGGAATGGCATGAACATGGAGCAGGCAAAACGTTCCTTGGCGGCCAACGGCTGTTTCTGGATATGAGCGGTGCGCCGGCGGCGGTTGTTAACTGCTGGACGCAGCAATGGCGACCCCTTTCCTTCTCTGCCGGCGTGTTTGCAGGTTTATACACGTGCTCTCCCTGCACGAATCTTCTGTTCCCAGATTTGATTTACGCATCATTAATTCTTTTTGGACGGAAGCGCACGTGTTGCCGATGACTATTCCTCTGTCTGAAGTCGGAACGAAAGAATTCAAGTTTCTATTTTTCCTTCAAGTTCATCTTACATGCGACGCAGCTGCGCTTGGCGCCTTTGCTTTGCAGGCGTGTGTGTATTTTTGGTACAAAAGAATCGTGTGTGTCGGCGGCGTACGAACGAACGGATCGAACCGAACCGAACCCATCTGAACCGACGTGAGCCTATCTATCACCTGAATCTAATAACGGCCAGGAGCGCGCCGAGAGCGAGCAGCTCCGCGGGCAGCAGCACCACCACCAGCAGGTGCGCGCGCCTGGCCGCCTCGCTAACGGCGTCCACGAGGCCCCCGCGCCGCCCCGAGGAGCCGGACGACGACACACCGTGGACGCCGAACGGCCACCACAGGAGCAGGCGCCACCGCCACCGGCCCCGCTCGGCCTCCTCCCGCGCGCGCCGGGCCTCCTTGCGAACCACGGCGCGCACGGACCGGAGGTACGAGTTCACGTCGTGGTCGCGGTACACGGAGCCCCGGGGACCGTACGCGGCGCCGTCCTTGAGGATCTCCAGCGGGTGCGGCGAGTTGAAGAAGGCCGACAGCGCGGACCGGAGCTGCTGCGACAGGGAGCCGTCGCCGGACGCTGACACCGACGCCGATGCCCCGTCGACGCCGGCCAGGTGGTAGATGCCGCTGTCCGGCGGGAGCAGGTGGTGGTGCGGGGACAGCCGCTCGTCCGGCTGCAGGATCAGCACCTCCCCCATCGGCGCGTACAGGAGTTTCTGTATTGCAATGGATTGGATTCACGATGTCAGGAGGACTTCGCTGGCGTCGTATACACCTGCAAGCCATTCTTGCTGAAGGACAAGGACCTCGACCTCCAGACCACCAAGACCTACCTGGTTTGTGAGGCACGGGTGGCTGCGGAAATTCCCGTTGGCAACCTTCAGGATGTTGGCGACATGGTCAGGGTAGTGGCAGGAGAACACCCGGGGTACGATGTCCCGGTGCATCGTGATCGACTGCACGTGGCTCCGCGGCAACCCGAGCCGGCGGAGCAGGTGGTCGCCGCCGCACATGATGCACGGCGCGCCGAACGTTATCACGGGCAGCAGCGACGACGCAGGCGCCTCCCCCTCGCATCAGCAGCATCAGGTTGACAAGCAGAGCCAGGCTCCCGCCGAGGGAGTGCCCGGTGAACCGCAGCCGTGCGGATTTGCTGCAGCTCTTCAAGTGGGCTTTCACGTAGGGTAGCATCTGGTGATACATCCCCCTTGGCAGCTTCGTATATGCCCCTGTGAACGAGCACATCGAGTTCCTGCAGCGCCGCATCAGAAATGTACAGTGGTTACATAAACATCTACCTGCTCGTATATACTACCGACTCCTGAAACTGATTTTTTTAGCAACAGCTAGTAGTGTCATCAAACCTCAAATTTGACAGGTTCAAATAAAAGGTTGGCCTGCCAAGAAGCAATTGATTCTGAGCCCTGCAGGTCACAAAAGCAAACCACAACGGCACAAAATTGGATTAAGAAGTACAAAGAATTGAAACTATATATTGGATCACCATGAGAATTTGGGCATATACAAGCAATACCTGAACCACAAAGTATCTTGTGCTGTTTTGATCATCATCACAGACGAACCACTCACAAGGGCAAGATCTTGAAGAATTCAGATCATCTGCAACGGCTTGTCGTGTCTCTTCCTTCGCCGCAACCATGGAGGTTACCGAATTTGTTGTGGCCACAAATGAGGCTTCGTCCAAGCTCAACCCGTCACTGCTCTCGCCACTCACGAACGCCATGATGGTTGGATCATCCTTGGCATCATTCCCGGGACCAAATGGCATAATGCCCATGGCCCGGGAATGCAAATAAGAGGCAGCCGAAGACACTACATGGTATGCACCAAAGGCGCTAATCCCTAGGCCACTTCTTTCCCCCTGGCTCGCTGGCACCACACTGTCCACAGCTTCAGGTGCTTGATCCCCAGATTCATCTTTCTTAGTGCTATGCTCCTGCTTCTGATCAGGGCTAGTTCCGGCCTTGTCTTGCATTGACGATGTCACAAACCGCAAATTGTATCTCCGGAGACATTTTGGCTGAGATGCGAGGCATGAAAGCAAAGGATTCCTAACTTAGGCAGTGGAAAAGGATATTTGCAACCGCAATTCAGTTACATTAGATCAGTATAAGAAACAGAGATGACGATACATCCATCCATAAGCCGGAAAAACAGTTAGTTAGGTGCTTAACCAATTAGCAAAGACAAGCAGAACTCAAGGATAGACTTGGACTAATCCAAAAATATCTTTTGGAAAATCGCACTGGAAAAGAAAAGTATACAGTAAAATCCAAAATAGACCAAATTTAGCTTGAACGTTCCTAGAAAATACCACCACCCGGCACCTGCATTGACGCTGAAAATATACGGCATGAACAAGAGCACGGCACCTGGCTGGCACAATCAAATGCTCATGAGCATTCACCGAAAGCAATTTCGGCCAAATTCAGCGAGGACGAACTGCAATTGACGCGTGAGAGAGAGGGTAGCAGTACTAGCCACGACGATGGTGGTGGTGGTACCTGAATTCTGGGGATCATGTAGGCGATGTTGCAGAGGTAGGACATCATGGAGTACTCCTTAGCCTCCAGGAGCGACGCCTTCCGCAGGAGCCGCGAGAAAGACGCGCGGTCGAACACCTCGCGGTCGTCGTACCCCACGGCGCAGCCTTCGTCGTTTTTCCCCCCGCCGCCGCAGGAGGCGCACCTCGACGCCACCTGCGGCAGCCACAGCCGCCGCCTTCGGTTCCTCCTCCGGTTCCTGGCCGCCACCGCCGCCGCCGGAGGCCTCCGCGTCCGCCGCCTCCACCCACCGCGGTTGCACCCGCAGCATCTGCAGCACCCAGTTGCCGCCCTGCCTCCGCTCGTTCCCCTCCTCCTTCCGCTCCTCATCATCGGGCGGAGGACTCCTCGGCTCCGCGCCGCGGACGGAGGCGCCAGCCGGGGGCGGCGGCCTATCTCCCCCGCCACGCGGCCACATGCGCAGCAGCGGCGCGTGCAGCGGCGCGCGCGGCGGCTGGTGCAGAGGAGGCTGCCGCTGGCGCTGCGCCGACATCGCCGCCGCCGCCGGGGGCGGCACCGAGGCCGGCGCCACCGGAGGCTGCTGCGGCGGCGCGGCGCCGCGCACGAACCTCAGCACGTCCATGGCGCCGGGCGGCGGCGGCGGCGGCCCTGGGCAAGCGCCTCCGAAACGTGGCTTCCTCTCGTGCGCACGAGGGCGGTTAAGCCGCGTGGATTGAGAGGCGGCTGGTTAATTATAGCGCGGTTAAGTTTAGGAATCCCTGCCGACTGGGACTTGGTGAGAGGCGGCTTGTGGCGTCGTCTGTGGGGCTCGCCGGCCGGCTCGCTGCCTAGCTGGTTAATCTTCTTCTAGTTCTAGCTCACCTGAGTAGAGCTTAGCTTCTGCTCGACGATGATGAGTGGCTGCCGTGATTGTAAAAGGACAGGCGGTAGGGGAGGGGAGAGGAGAGGGAGGACGGGCAGTGGAGGAGAGCTCCTCCTATATACCTGGAGACGTGGCGAAGGAGGACGGCAGGAGGGTGGAGGTATGCGATGACTGGGGATCGTTTGTGGGAGGTGAGAGAGCGGTGAAGAAAAATCTTTTGGTTGCTTGTTCGAACGGATCCTTTTGACATTTGGATATAGGGAAAATTGGGTCAATAGCACCGAAAGAATTTCACTTTCTTAAAATACTATTGAAAGATGTTTATCACGTAAAATATCATTGAAAGACAGCACCGTTACCTCTATCTAGCATTCGTCACGGTGGCACAACAACATCGTGAAATCCACCTCCAAACGCCTGATAAAAACAAACGGTCGGTCCTCCTCGGTTTGATGTGGAGCATCAGGGCACCAGCTCATGCTCCTTCTCGCTGCCGACGGCGGATGCTCAGGCAGCATTCCAAAGTTGTCGCATGGTCGCACGAGGTGGTCGTCGAGGAGCGCGGCAAGCTGGTTACAAGCGAGACACGGTGCGGCGAGTGCGGAGTGGCAGTGACAGCGACAACCTTGCCGGCCGACATGGGTAAGGACGGACCTCCGAAGGAGGCGGCCAAGGCCAAGAATTTGGCGCCGGCGCTGCAGTCGTTCGCGTCGGTGTTCGTGGACGTGGTGCTCATAGTTCTTGCGAGCTCTTGCGTTCTCGAAGGAGTTGAAGCTATCCTACAGGACACCGGAGCTCCGAGATGGACTCACGCACCGCAAAGAACGGCCACGGAACAGAAGAAAACGTCATGGAGGTGGAGTGTCGGGACCTGGACCTTGGCAACGACGCGCTAGGCTCATCACCACGGGTGCGAGCTCTGCATGTGGTGCATGCCGAGAACGGACAACAGGTGCACCTGAACGAGCGTTGCGCTGCCTCTTGGCCCTCACTGCCGCGGCTGGCAGCGAAGCTACCCCCTGCGTGTGCCCCTAGCCCAAGGACGACGCCACCGCACGGGCCGCCTCGAGCGCGAGGCCGACCACACTCGTGGACCCCAATTATCAGCACGGTGCATGCCGCTCCACCGTGCCCCCAACATGTGTCCACAAGCAAACCGTCGACGGCGGCATTGGCACGGGTGCATGCGTGTGCAGCGCCGGTCGGCTCACCTAGGAACACCATGACCTAGTTGCCAAGTGTGGCAGAACCACCCAAAATAACACGCTTTCGGAGGCACTCGTCTTCCACTAAACACTAAGCATCCCGAAAGTTAGCTACATCGGACAGTTACATCGAGTCCACCCCATGGGAGAACTCGAAACAATCCACGTTTTATATCTAGAATCTAATAATGAGTATGAGCTTACAATACTTAGCTCATTTTATACAACAAGAGTTCTTAGAAATTATTTATTACAATACCAGAGTTTAGAGTGCGATAATTAAACAGCGGAATGAAAATGAACATCTAGCGGAAATGATACAAGGATCCGTCTGTGCCCACCAGAAGAATCCTCCACACAAGAGCTACTCCTCAAGCTGCACCTGCAACAGGGGTAAAATAAACCCTGAGTACACAATGTACTTGCAAGACTTACCCGACTAGTGGGAATAGTTTCCCGACTCCAAAGAATATGATAGGCAATATGGGTTTGTTGTTTTCTTTTTGTTTGCGAAAAACATTACTAGAAATACATCCTTAAGATCAAGTTTTATTAGCAGTTGTGATTACTTCATTAGCTAACCATTCTAAGTAAGCACATGTTCTACTTTTAAGCAAGGGTTGAGCAATCAGGATCATTTTACCATCTTTCATATCAGTTCTTACTACGGTGCTAGACCATAGCCAAGTTGTACCGTCTTACCGAAATGGCGATTCACGAACCAATGTATCCCAGCTGGGTACCCCTAAACACACGCCCTGTTTGTACTACGGTGCTAGACCATAGATAGTTTCATGATAGGAGCGATGTTGGGTCGTGGAGTCATCTGGAGTAGTAGAAGCAGATGGTGACTTGATAATCATGCCACCATGATAAAAAAACTAACTTGGTTATATTTTACCCAGGCAAGCCCCGGTGCATAACCTCTATTATTTTGCACTTAACTTTTTGCTTGTGCATTAAGTTTTAAGGAGTTGAATGAAACCCACTTGCATATATATATATATATATATATATATCCTTATCCTATGAGTTTTGCTAGTATGACAGGATCGTGTAGATTGCTATGCTATAGGACTCTAATAGAAGTCGAGTGATTGTCTGTTACTTGCGAGAGATAGGAAATATATTATTGTTACTATTATCATGTTACTATCACATAGAATATATATGGATAATAATTAGAGACCGGGCGGGACCATACTTTGGATTTGGATTTGGATTTGGACTTGGTTAGGTAACCGAGCGAGGCTCTGGTTGCATTTGTCCCGCCTGTGTCAATTGAGGACCGTCCATTGTAGTGGATTCTAGTCAGGTCACAGACTTATTATCTTGAGCACATACTTGCTTATGGGAGCGGGAAGGCTCGTTGCTCTCTTGTCGTGGATTCTAGCTCTTTCCGAACCGACTAATTAGAGGTGGGGATGGTGGAGGTCTAAGCACCACACTGAGTCTAGGACTCAGGAGTGGGGGCTTGGAGTCCAAGTTTAGACGGGGACCTAGACCCCTTGACAGGAGAGTGGTGGGTTGGTCTTGCTTGTGCCTGGGGTACAAGCAGGGCGTGTGTTTTGGGGTATCCAGCTAGGATACATTAGTTCACGAACCGCTGTGTGATACGGTACGACTTGGCTATGATCTAGCATCGTAGTAAGAACTGGAACATGAAAGATGGTAAAATGGTTCTGATTGCTTGCCACCTGCTTGAAAGTAGCATAGGTGCTTACATAGAATGATTAGTTAAGAAACTAATGATGGCTTCTAATAAAATTGAATATAAGGACGCATGTTTAGTAATGCTTCCTGCAATATAATAACCCACAAGCCAAATAGCCTTGCATATCCTTGGAGTCTTTTATTTTTCTCCTATCGAGTAAGTCTTACTAAGTATAATCGAGTCCTCAGAGTTTTATTCCCCCTGTTATAGGTGACATGTGAATGCTAGGGCTGACACTTATGTGTGGAAACCTGCTGGTGAGCTCATCGAGGATTTCCTTACGATGTGGACATAGAGTTATTTCTAACTTTCACCAAAAAATGTTTTATAAAGGAAAGAATTACAATCTGTTATCATTCCATGTATATAGATGCTCCTCATGTTATCGGCCGGTGACACAGCGCGGCTGCGCCGGCCACCAGGGACCTGCGACTGATCACCTAACGGGTCGATCACCATCTCCGACCCGAGCGGCTACGCTAAGCGGTGGTGCGGGGTGACACGACTGACTGGGGAAGGCTACAGCAGCGCGCGGCCATCCACGTTGGCGGCGCAGCTGCCCCAGCGATCTAGAGCACCTAAGAACCTAACTGGCTAGCGAGAGAGCATCAGTAGACTACCGTGGACCTAGATGAGGTGATGGTTGGGGTGGAGGATGGCGGAGGAGGGCTGGCCATGTGCGGGCGAGCCGTGCGGCGGCGCACCATGGCGGCACGGTCGCGTCAGCGACGACGGGAAGGCAGTAGCGGTTCGGCTAAGGCGCGTAGGGTGATGAGGGAGTCAAGGCTATGCTAGTGCAGGTGAATTGGTTCAGGATGGGCGATAGGAGAGCTGCCCACATCCCCGGACGGATGCGGCCTTATCGGCACGGTGACGAGAAAAACTCCAAATTGGAGCTTGGTTATGCTCGCTTCAAGGCTGGGTGGGGGTCGGGGGTCAGGTGGCTTAATGGAGAATCCAGGGATGTGATGAATCGAGTGATGGTGACTCAACCATGCCGAATTAAGCGAGCGGGTCGGCCGGTCGCGGTGGTAGAGAGGAAGGGGCAGGTCTGGCTCGGCTCGTCCTCGCCTTGGCAGCAAGTGGCCGGCCGGACCCGAGGCGGTGTCTATGCACCCGCTACATGACATGGCCACACCACGTGCACGCGCGGAGGCAGGCGGGGGCGCGGCATGCGCGGCCGCAGCGCCTTTAAGGCGAGGCGATGGCGTGAGGTAGCCGGGACAGCCCACGTGCGTATGAGGACAAGGCGACCGGGCCGCATCAAAGGAAAAATTGGTAGCGGCAACTCGAGGCAGGGCAGCAGTGCGGATGCGACGACGAGGTGATGGTGCGGGGCAGGGCTAGCGGCTCCGCGCGGCGGGGCCAGCGGCGGTCGGGCCGCAGCCAGGCCAGAGGCAGCCACAGTTGGCCACGCGCGACCAGCGCAGTGACGCCGAGCACCCGAGCCTAGTGACGGTCGAGGTTGACACTAAACCGCCTTTACTATGCTAAAGAGAGCCTATTAGGCTACCAATCTGAGCTAAAACATGACACTGCCTCTTAAACCAATCTTTCAAAATAATTTGCTAAACATAGCAATGTCTAGCTGTTGACAAACTTGGAAAATTTCTAAGTTTTTGAGCTGAACTTGATTTTAATTTGTAATTCCTAGGCTAGTAGAAATATTAGTTAGTAATATCATTTTTTAACAGCAAGTATTTCACTGTCATCTACAAAGTTCAAGTTCCAAACTTTATTTAAGCGCCACATATATGTTTTATAGCATTTTTTTTTCAATAAAATTAGTTTTAAACCCTACTTGATATACATGAGCTATTGAATCAACTTTCGTTTAACAT